GACTGATCTGCCTCGCCCGGGAAGAGCGCAATGATGGTGCCAACTTGGGCCAGTGAAGCAACATCCTCCACAACTAGACTGAAGAACAAAACGATAGCAACTTGTCTGTTCCTCTTCCCACAATTCCCCAGCACTGTTCCCATCTCCCCAATTCCCCAATAAAAAAATAAATAAAAAATCTTAAAAAAAAAATCACAAGGAAAAAAGCTGAGAAATTCAAAAGGTGGAACTTTCTACAAGATAACAGGTTTGGTCTCTTCAATAAATCAGTGGTAGCAAAAACAGACCACATGTGAGAGACACTAAGGGCAAACAACCACATGTAGAGTATGGTGCTGGATTAGATGTTGGTTTGATCCTTTTGGATCAATTGGGGAAATACAAAACCTGAGCATTCAATGGACTTTTCAACCAGATCAAACCTTCACTTATTTACTTTGATGTTTAATCTTTTGAGATACCCATATTATATTTTGACATTCCTTTGCTACTATTAAAAAATTTGCTTTTCTTAGAAGTTTTTCTCCTGTTTCCCCACTTAGCATTACAGCTCCATGCTCCTATTTCAGCCAGCCCAGGCAAGGATGCTATGACTTTTGCAGCCAAAACTGAGCTGAGCTAGAAGCCTGAGCAGGCTTCTAGCTAAGCAGAGGAATGAACTCAAGCGAATGTTCAAATTGTTTACCTGGTACTTTCCTAACCAATCAAATCAGTGCTAACCTAATTTGTAACCTAAGTTGTAAAATCCTGAAAGGATTTCTCAACCTAAAATATATTAAATTAAAAAGAGAGTTAACTTTTCTGCCTGCTGTTAAATAGAAACAGGCTCAAAATGGAGTCACTTTTGCTAAGCCCCACCAAAACTTAATACCTAACCTAACTGCAGTTTCAGCCATCCCAAGAATGGGATTTTAAACCAATCAATCCTGAATTTCCTGCTCCACACTAATGAGGTAATCTGCCTCATAAAATCCACTGCCTTCCCCTAAGGCAGCGGTTCTCAACCTGTGGGTCGCGACCCCTTTGGGGGTCAAATGACGCTTTCAAACGACGCCGGGTGCTCGTATGTGGGCGTATCTGCATGTGGGCCTGAAGATGGATAGAGGAGCGGTGTCTTGGTTCCTAAGACCATCGAAAATATGTGTTTTCCGATGGTCTTAGGCGACCCCTGTGAAAGGTTGAGAACCTCTGCTAAGGGAAGGTGACCTTGCCTAAAATAACCCACTCTTACAACTTCCTGTCCCCCACTCTTTCTACTTATAAAAACCTTCCTCTTTGTACAGCTCCTCAGGGCACCTTTCCATGCACTAAATGGGATGCTGCCCAATTCATGGGGGTTTTTTTGGTGTTTTTTTTTTTTTTTAAGATTTTTATTGGGGAATTGGGGGACGAGAACAGCGTTGGGGAATTGTGGGAAGGGGAACAGACAAGTTGCTGTCCTTTTGTGCTTCAGTCTAGTTGTGGAGGACGTTGCTTCACTGATCCAAGTTGGCACCACCATTGCACTCTTCCTGGGCAAGGCAAATCAGTCGCTGGCTTCTGGACAGCCGCTCACGGAGGCTGCTGGCCACTCACGCTGGCTGCTGGCTACACACGGTAGCCCATGGCTACCCACTGCAGCAGGGGCTGCAGCCTATGCCTCGCCGCAGCCCAGCTCCAGGTTGAGCTGTTGCTCAGCATCTTAGTTGTAGAGGGCAGTGTCACTGGCCCTCATATGTGGGATCCAAACCGGGGCCCTCTGGCATCCCAAGCCAGCTCTTAATCAACGCGCCACTCGGCCAGCCCTGTTTTGTTTTGTTTTTAGCTGAGCCATCCTGCCAAGAGGCAGCTCAGCTCTGGTGGGTCTCAAACCACTGTTGCTCAGAGCTCTCACTCTTCAGTGAGCTCTTAACCAACTGAGCCACTCGGCCGGCCCATGAATTGTTGAATAAAGCCAATTAGATCTTTAAATTCTATTGGGTGAATTTTTATTCTTTAACAATGCCAAAATACAACCATAAGCAAAGTGAAAAAGGCAACACCAAACTGAGAATATGCCAACAAGTTTTCAATAAATATGCCAAGGGGTTATTTTTTTTAACCTGCAGTAAACAACAGCAACAAGATTTAAAAAGAGATATCTTATTTATAAAATTATTAAGTGCTTTGTTTTTAAGACAACCCCTGGTTCCCACCATGCCCACAGCCACCCTCTGACCCTCTGAGGGTTTCTTTATACAGAAGTCACCAGGTCTGGTTCCTTAAGACCCATCATCCTGGGGACATCTCATCTGACCCGAGGCAAACTGCTGAGCTAAAAGCATCCCAGGCACAGCTCTGTGTGTTCTGCTCAGAGCATACTCTCTTAGATGGAACTGCTTAAGCCATCCAGACTTTCTCCAGGGTAGTGTAAAGACTTTTACAGTTATACAAAGGACCATTTCTCCAGGGTTCTGTTCAATACGCTATGAACCCCAAGAATCCTGGCTGCGTCCCTTTTCTGTAAAGCTGTCAGGATTTACTCTAATCACGGGGTTCCCTTCCCTAGTGACTGGCCAAGTAATGGGACCAAATGCCCTCGTTAAAACAGCCACCTCTCCATACTCTTCTCTTGGGACCTTGCTTAGGCTCTTTTTCCCCTAAGGATTTTTGCTAAACATAATAAACAGCAGGAAAGATGGGAAAAAAACAGAAATACTACATCTGGGTAGGCTTAATAAATCAAAATTTAACAGTCATGCCCTACAACCTGTTTCATACATTCAGAGACAATAAAGTTATCTCAGAAACATTTCTCAACTACTTTTGTGAGCACAAATAGGAAAACAAAGAAAAAAAACACCTTAATAATCGTTAATTATATGCCTTAGACATAGAAAAAGAAATTATTAAATTTTGAAGTGAAATTCTCACTAGTATCACCAACTTTTGGTCTAATCACTGTAAATTCCAGATTATTAAGCAGTAGATCAGAAAAGAATATTAAAAGGGGGGAAGCATGACAGAATCAAGTAGCAAGCTGAGGGAAGAAAGAATTTATCTCGGGAACAAAAACAATCCTTTTTATTTTTAAATCTAGGAGAGTAACTATTACAACTACGGTGGGTAAGAGTGGAAGAAACATCCACTCACCCTTCTTCTCCACTGAATGGAGGTGCCGGTTTCCATACCAAAACGATGAGGCACACTGCTCTCTGGAGAAGTTGTGTTCTTAGCCTACTCAGGAAACCCTCCTGCAGATGAATGCACTTAGCACTAAATAAAATTCGACTCTAAAAAAACAAATAGGGCCAGCCAAGTGGCTCATTGGTTAAGAGTTGGCTTAGGAGCGCTAGCTCTGAGCAGCAGGGCTGCCGGTTCAGGTTCCACATGAGCCTGTGATGTTGCACCCTCTACAGCTACGACGGTGAACAACAGCTCAACCTGGAGCTGGGCTGCTGTGAGTCGTTGGCGACAGCGTAGGCTGCAGCCACTGCTGCAGTGGGCTGCCGTAAGCTACTGTGAGTGGCTGGCAGCCAGCGTGAGCTGCCTGAACCGCTGTGAGCGGTCGTACAATGGCCAGCGTCTGATCTGCCTCAGCTGGAAGAGCGCAATGATCATAATACTAACATGGGCCAGTGAAGCGACATCCTCCACAACTAGACTAAAGAACAAAAGGACAGCAACTTGTCTGTTCCCCTCCTGATTCCCCAATGCTGTTCCCTTCCCCAATTCCCCAATAAAATCTTTAAAAAAAATAAAAAAACAAATATAAAAAAGTAAATATAAGAAAATAAAAAAACAAATATTTTCCATGATATTTACAAGTAAAAAAATTCATCACTCTTGTGCAAATGCTGGCTATTCCAAAGCATTCTTCCAGTAACCCAAGTAGACCAACCACTCAGTGCCATACATAATCTACGTATTGTGTTACCCCGTTTTCCTATAATACTGACACACCATTTTCTGTGCTAGATGTTTTGGTGAGAAAGAAGATGATTTTAGAATCACACCTTAGTTAGGAAAAAAAATGTTTCTATTCAACTTATAAAGCACTGTTACCTCATGTGGTACGCTTTCAGGTTAAAAAAAAAAAATCAGTTCCTGGTCCTGACTCCACTTCCACAACTTCACTAAATAGATCACGAGTTAATAACAACACAGCTTTGGGGGCGTTAATGTCTAACTAAGTGCCATACACATAAGTTTTCACACTAGTTGGTAATTTTTTTTTAAATAGACTTTTTTAGAGCAGTTTTTGGTTCACAGCAAATGAGCAGAAGGTACAGAGATCTTCCATACATCCCTTCCCCCTACATACGCAGAGCCTTGTCCCATTGGTCAGTGTTTAAAAAGCAAAACATGTTCTCTCTGGGAAGAAATCAAGACATTATCTTAGAAAAGGTAATTTCAAATTTCCAACAGCAAATTTAAAGTACCATTGTTGTCTGCATTTTCATTACTACATTGGAAAAGTAGTTAAATACTTACCATATAACATCCAACAAGGTAAGCAGCATTTGCTTGTTTTCTCTGATCACAGCCAGTAAAATGAACAATTTTCTTCCTTATCAATGTAATGGACTGCATAAAGATACACAGCTGTTAGTATTTTCTTTTTAATTTCAAGTTTTCTAAAACTTTATCTTGTGATGAAGATAAATTCCAAATCTCACAATGTGTAAGCATTCATATTATCAAGACCTTTAAAATAGTAACTTTGATACCCTAAAGTACCATGTACCTTCCTATAAAAGACATGATCTTAGATTACAAGGATGGTACAATTTAAGAGGAGGGTAGATATATACTTAAAGTGTAGACTACCTCTGAAAGAATACATAAGAAGCTGGAAAGGGGGTGCTTTTCTTTAATTTTCTTACTGCTTGATTTTTTTAAAAAACATCTATTTCCAAAACCTTTAAATTATTATAAAATAAAAAGGTATATAAAGCCAGCCAAAAATCATTCTGTTAGAAATTAGGATAGTAAATGGGGTGAGGGGCAGGGTGAGGGTGGTGCAGAGATAGACCAAGGAGCATAAGGAGGCTCTTCTATGGTGCTGTTAATGTCCTGTCCCTAATCTGATGATCAAGACCATGACCCATGTATTTCAGTTTGTGAAAATTCATGAGCTGTATACTCATGATCTGTACACATTTCTGTACATACATTATACTTCAATAAAAAGTCAAACATGAAAAGGATATCAAATGTAAAAACCCAAGGAAGACATGCTTAGTTAGCACTTCCTCACCTATACTTCAATAATGTGAGTAGAAACAGAATCTGGGTAAGGGCCAGGAATAGACTATATTCAGTTCAATAAGCTCGCATTCCTTGGCTTCTGAGTCAGTGATGAATGTGTACATATTTTCCTTCAGTTGTTTACACGGAATAAGAGACCCAAATTGATTTTTAAAAACTAAAATAAACTAAAACAACTCAACCAGCCACAGAGCAACCCAAGCGCAAAACACTCTTAATTTAAACTCTGAACACACTTTTATCACTACTAATCGAATAGGCAGTAATGTTTTGATCAGTTTGGATGGTCAACATCTACAAGCTGGACCAGTAAATGATAAAATGTTAAAGGATAAAAAGGACCAATATATTCTTAGTTGACCCAAAGGTTAAAAGTCCATACATGGCTGAGTGTAGAAAAAAAAAAATTCTTTTCAAAGTAAAGCAAAGGAATACAAGTGGGGGGAGAGGAAATTATTTTTAGCTTCCTAGCCCTGTATGAAACAAAAGACCTGCCACTGACAACTGGAAAAAGGGAGTGGCGGGAGGAGGTGGGTGGGAGAGACATAAAAACATAAGACCATAAATGCTTCCATTCCTAATGAAGAGAGAAAGAAGTCCAGAAAGAAGAGTCTCCATCTCTATATCAATCTGTACTGAATACACACATAATACAAAAGAAAAAGCAATGCTACAACTTCCATTTTACAGATCAGTAGCTCATCTAACAGGTGCTTCTAACATTTATGATTTGCAATTTTAGGTTTGATACTCAAGGGAAAAAAATCTGCCTTGCTCACTCAGAACTTCTTAATACAATTTAATTTTTAATTGAAAATAAACTTTATTTCTTCTGTGTAGTAGTCTGGTAAGTAATTGTTTAAATAAATTTTTTTTGAATTCCCCCAAAATCCACTATCTTCCACTTGAGAGTCCACAGTGACTAATTTGGAATTGCTAGCAGTACATAAACATTTTTTATTGCGCATGACCAATAGTCAAAGTTTTTAAAATAAATGCATGGGGTCTAAGCTCAGACTAATAGAAATACACTTTTGCAACTCTCAATGACAGACACAGCCTTAAAAATATGCTGTTTGCCCTGGCTTTCCATGCTCCTTAATCGTATGTGTAAAAGGTCAAGGTTAAGAGTCACAAGTAGTACAACATCATGGGAGATCCAAGACTGAATGAGAGAGTAAGATGAGCCAATTTTTATTAGTCTGCTAGCACTCCCTCCCCATCAAAATGAAGGCAGAACAGTAACCACAGCAAGGGAACTTTCTCTTGTTAGGTTTCCGCCTCATTAGGTCAAGGTCAGACAATAAGAGGTTCACTTTATTAACCAATTTCCACTTTGGCTTTCCAAGTATCTGAGTATCACCAATCCAAACCAGAACCAAATGACACAAACTTAAATTCTTCAATCAAAACTCTGGAAAACTAACATATACACTATTCTTTTATCAAACAAAAAACCATGGATATGACCCAAACACTACTGCAATGAAAAACATGACAATTCCTTTTTAAAAACAGAGGTGTGCTTTCCTTACTTTCCCCGCCCCAAGGTCAGGCTAAAATGATTAATTAAGTCAAATCCTAAGTAAAAAAGATTTTACCTTTAATTTCTTATTTATCTTGCGACAATATCTGTAAACCATTGCCAGATTGAGTGGTCCAAAATCTGCGTAGAAGCTTTAAAAATGAAAAACAAAAACGTGTATGTATATTCTAGACACTCTGAATATAAATGTCTTTTTGCAGCTACAAGAACAAATTAAGACAAGGAAGTACACAGCAAATTGTTATCAGTCAGTCACACAACTTAAAGTACTGCCTTAACTAGTGGAAGAGATACTCCAGTAAACAATGCCTATTAAAAAATATGACCAGTGGTGGTTCAACGCCTAAATCTAACCCCAAATAACATATGAAAACACCTTCTGAATTAAAAAACCTATTTTCCACACATATTTTTCCACTGGTAAAAACATATCTTAGCACATTAGTTTATATCTCATTGTACTGTAAACTATTAGAATTTCAAATGTAAATTGTTAAATTTACAAAGCCTCACTCATTTTTATTTTTTTCCCCTAAGGATCTATTTTATTACTAAGGGTTAAAGAAAAAACATCCTGCAATTATCAATCAACAGATTTGTAATTTTCCAAAGCTATCCTTTTTATAAAGATACCTTCAGATTCTTCAAAATAAAAAAGTACTAACAATCTTTTAAAAAGCAATACTTACTTCTCATATTCAAGTTCATTATCTATGCTGAAATAATGTACATTTGATGAACTCTTTGGTCTGCTGTAGAGAATGGCAAAACAAAGGCGATCTGAAATGGAAAAATTGCAATGTTCCTTCCTTCAGATTATTAAAAAACATTTCATATATCATGATGCAACTATTTTCAGATGAAGTCAAATTTTTATTTTTTCCATGCATGTTTCTGATGGTAAGGGTGCCTTCCAATGTTCTGGCTATTTTGGTGAGTGATAATAAATAAGCAAATTTTTTAAAGGGGAAATTGCCCTTAACTGTAAGTTTCAAAAATGGTGACTTTTCACTTAGCAATATGGCTTGATTTCTGGAGGAACCTCTCATCACAAAACTTTACGTTTCTGTGGACTACGAAATCTGAGCAAATGGCAGCATGCACTTGATGACTAGGCATCAACCTAGATGATTTTCACTATGTGTCACTGTGTTTTCAAGACATCCTAAAGAGTCACTTCAGTAGGAACTGTATTTTAAGCAGATAGAGACTTTCAAAACTGCTTCAAAATGAACATTTACAGTTATAGAACATAAACAACAAAATGAACCATATGCTTATCCAACTGTTCTTAGGGATCACTACTACTTTTGTAGTGATTTTTACAATTATACAAACTACCATCGCAACAGAAGCAATGAGAGGTTTCTGGATGGTGAATGTGAAATGAACTTGTGTTGCATTAATGCAGTTAGGCTGCTGTGAGGTTTAGCAAGAATGGTAACCAGTGTTAATAATGCTCAGACACTCCACCCATCCTCCCCCACCCACCCGCAAAACAGTTGCCTGAAAATCCTCGGCGAAGCAAAGCCATCCGCAAAACCTAGTAGTAGCAATACTAGTAGTACTAGTAGAATACTTACACTCAAATTGTGGCAAAATGAAGTTCAGCTTTATAAAACAGTAAGGAACAAAGGACGCCAGCTGGCATCCTTTCCCCGAATGGTAATTTAAACAATTGCCAACAATTCAACTCGCGCAATTGCTGTGTTTATTTCCCTGTAAACTCAACTAGAATGTCTTGAAACCACAAACACTCAAAAAGATGACGGGGCTTAGTCCTTTCCAACCACAAATGACCCTTGATCCCTGTGCACGGTGACCGCGGATTTTGCACCCTTGGGTGGACAGGCACAACTCACTTACCAGCCAGGGCTCCCCACGACACAGGTCTGTTCGCGTTCGTCCCAAAGCAAGACCACGCCTGGGAGCCTCTGGACTGAGTCCCGGGAGGCCACCCATGCCCATGAGACAGCATCGGCCCTAGCCCGGAAAGTTAAAGGCACTGCCTGGCCAGCAACTGGGGCCTCCTTGAACCCAATGCCCTCTAAACATGGGGTATCCCCGGGGGTGCCCGGGACAGGCCAGACCCGCACCCTCAGCACTCACCTTTGATCACCTCGGCCACCAGACGGGTCCCTATGCCCTCCCGGCTCATGACTCCAAAGCATCTGGAAGGCGGGGCAGAGGGAAGGACTGGACAGCCAGGGAACAACCAGCCGCTGAGAGAGGAGGCGCCGCAACCACACCCCCGAAGTTCAAAAAACAAAAAGTTTAAAGGGCCGCGCCCAAGCAGTGGGCACAGCGACGCCCTGGGCCACCCAACCCACCGCAAACCTAGACGAGCCAACCCCGGAAGTTCAAAACTTCTCAAACTGCCCCAAACGGGGTGGGTGAGCGAGTGGAGCGCGGAAGCCACCCCCAGCAGCCGGGGCTGAGCTTCGCCCCGCCTCAGGAACCCGGGGGACGCCACACGGTCATCTGTCGCTCCAGGACCTCCAGCCCCAAGATTCTGCACTCACAGGACGTGCAGCAGAGAGCGGCAACCGTGGGCCTGGTGAAAGAAAGCAGCTCCGAAAGCCAGTGGAAGGACTTCTCGGAAGTGGAGCGCTAGGTAGTGAACCTGCCCCCAGTGACACCAACTCGGGGCGCCTCCCCCAGACATCCTGGCTGCTGCCACCAGGGGGGGCTGCAGCCCCGCGCTGGTCAGGCGCCAAACCCCGGGACCCCGACCGGCCCGTAACTACTTCGGCTCAGAGACCCGCGGAGTGTCGGGCTCGCTGCGAGTGAGAGCATCTTCTTTACAACGGACGTCGATCTTCAAAGTCGTTGCAGATTTAAAGGTAAATTCAGCTTAAAGCTGAGGTCATCATTCCTTTAAAGGCCTTAGATTTCTCTTCAGAAAAGTATTAGGGTGGCTAAAAAGGAAAAATTCTGACACCATACTAAGCAACCATTTAAAGTATTTTCTAAACCTGTACTCCTATGTTAGTCTCAAGTGAAAAAGAAATAATTTACAGTATGAGTACGGTCCCATATAGTGCTGGGATTGGGGGCGATTTTCATTCCCTCCTCTATTTTTCCAAGTTTCCTACAGAAAAGTGTTACTTTAATAATCTGTGGAAAAAAATTGCAATGACTCTCCCTTAAAACAGACAAGCAATACAGTAACAACTCTTTCCCAAGAATTATACTGTATTTATAATTACAATATAATATAAACATTCTATATCACACATACATTTTTTGCCCCAAAAGTAAATCAGCATGCCTAACTTTATTCTAAAATTCCAGATGAATCAAAGACTTCTAATGTAAAAAACAAACGAATTATTTAATGCTGTCAACTGAAGAAGGCCTTTCTAAATGAAACAAAATCTAAAAGCCGTAAGAGAACTGACTGCTAAACTGGTACCCATTTTCTAAATGGCCTTCATAGCAATAGACACAAAGTCAAAATAAACTGGACAAGATTTTGAATTCATCCCATGAAGATGCCCAATTTCAATTTTATGTTACTGCAAAATAACAGAAATGCAAAATTGAACTACAAGGTCCTAGTTTTCCTTCAGGCTGGCAAAAAAAAAAAAAAATCAAAGGAGTCTGAAAAGGCACTGTGTTGGTGAGGTTGTGGGGAAACAGGCACATTGTCCGTAGGTGTAGGTAGGAATATAAACTGGGAAAACCTCTATTCACGGAAACAAACACTTTATCACCCCAAAATATGCTTTTTGGGGTATTGATTTTAAGCTGGTTATTAAGAAACAAAAGACTCGGAAAGAACCTTTTGACCCTTCCCCTCCTCCTCCCACCTGCCTAAAGGAATTCAGATAGAAAAACCTACTTAAAGGGAGGAAGAATGACCTTAACAACTAAACGACAGACAGGAAGAAATTTAGCAAAGCCTGTTTGTTGGACTCCCCTGTGTCCCATTGTTTCTGGGTCCTCCAAGCAAGAATCTATCACATTTGCTCTTCTTTCTATCTACATGTAAATTGACTAACTTCCCTTTGAAATCCCAGATCCCTGCCTCCCTCTCCTTTGTCCAGAATGACATATGCTTATGAAACCCCCACATGTGCTAAAGAAATAAATTTTGGATACATAAAACTGCAGGAGCTAAGCTTACAGGACACAGTATATCATATTTTGTGCCTGCTTGCTAAGAATATTTATAAATGACAGTTGTGTGGAAAATTTTTTTATCTGAGACTAGCTTTCATTATAATCTGGAGGTAGCAAGGATGTGAGGGAGTAGCTAAACCCCACATCTACCCGGAGTTTTCTTGCAGTTAGGGTTATCTATCAAAAAGTCCCAAAAGCTGTGCAAGACCGGACTGGCTCTGGGACGTTTCCATCAGTGTGATACAAAGAGATGAGATCTGACATCATTAACAACATGTCCTAAAACATCTGCATCATAATCATGCATGTCAGACATTCTTGAGCCAGAAAGAGAAGTCACACAGAAGTAAAGCAGTCGGCTTCAACAAACATATTTTTTTGGATCCTAAGCCAAGAACTTTTAAGTTCTAATTTATCTACCCTAAATAAGCATTTCAGAGGGAGGGGAGATAAGTAAATGGTCTGTCTCACTTCAAATTTCTTGTCAGTGAATGAAAAAGACTTATTTTAATGAATATTTTTAATATTTAATTGTTTTATCAGAAGCAAATTCTTATTCACAATACTTATTATCTCCAGTGGTATTTCAAGGTGCTCCTAACAATGTTTGGGACATAGCACAATTCTAGGCCACTAGACACATCATCAGTAAGTAAATTTTTCTATAGAGAAACCTCTCAGGGAGACTTTTTTTAATTGTCATGCCCTTTGACGGTGGTTTTTTAAGAAAATGGTGTAGAGAAGAAAGGATTAAGGGTACATATTAAATTATTTTTAAGTGGGAACCAGGGCAAAAGATTTGAAGACACTTAGTGAAAGAAATTATAGGAATGGCCTATAAGCTCATGAAAAAGGCATGCAAGTCAGGGAAATGCAAATTAAAACCACAATCAATACCAATTCTCAGCCACTAGGATGCTAAAATCAGAACACCACCAATTGTTGGAGAGGATTTAGAGCAATAGAACTCTCAAACATTGCTAATGGGAATGCAAAATGGTATTAAGATACTAGGAAAGTTTAGCAGTTTCTTACAAAGTTACATACACTTTCCCTATGACCCAGCCATCCAACTCCCAAGTATGTATATATACCCAGTACATAAATTCAAGAGAAAGTAAAACCCTTGTCTATGAAGAGACTTGTACATGAATATTTGTAGCAGCTTTAGAAGAGCCAGAAACTGGAAACAACACAAATTTCTATCAACAGAATGGATAAACAGATTGTAGTATACTCATGGAACACCACTCAGCAAAAACAAAAGAATGAAGTACTGATACACAAAATAAAATGGATGCATCTATAAAAACTATGCTGAGCAAAAGAAGACAGATGCAAAAGAGTTCATGCCATATGATTTTTGATACATAATGTTCAAAAACAGGTAAAATTAATCTATATTGACAAAAGTCAACAGTGGCTGTTTGGGGTGAGAGGGAAAGGGGCCCAGAAGGTCCAGTAGTTCACTTGTTAAAATTCAAACTGTACACATAAATCTCTGCATTTTACTGTATACAAGTTATATTCACTTTTTAAAGGATGGGGTCAGTGGGGTGGACAAAAAGAATTTTGACTGGTACAGATCCATGAAAAACTACAGAATTAATAAAGTATTTTGTATAAAATACAATTAAGAATTACAGTAATACCTT